TAACGATTGCTTGAATGAAAAGGAATCGTCCAGGGTAACGTCATCGGGATTCACACTTGATGTGTTAAAATCGGCGAGAAATCCGGGATTTTATGATCCTTGGTCTCGTAATGATGACATAACTTTTCATTATCAAGAGTATTTTGGTTTGTTTAGAGCCAAACTTGATTGGACCCTTTTACGTGGTTTTGAAGTTGTCAATAGATGGATTGGTAATCATGATTATAAAGCAAGTGATCACAAATATTTAATGGTAGAAATCAAGTTTGATGATTTACAAAGTATGTTGAATGGTAAAGATAAAGAGATTTGGAAAAAAAGAAGAATTTATTGGGATAAAATGACCGGGGACCACAATGGATTTGGAAGAATCGTAAAGTTGATGAGCTTTGTTGGAATTATTTCTATTGGAGTTTTGACTATGAGATTGATGAAAAAATGATGATTTATACTATAGATTTTTTTTGTAGTACAAAAACTTTGGATTTATTAATTTATTTCTTGATGTTTGTTGATCAAATACATTTAAACATTTATTTAAATAAAGATATTTATTTTTATTTAATTTTTGATTCTTGTAGAATTTAAATTGCGATCATGGCAAATTTTGATAGAAATCACGTATTTTTAGAGGCCTTCGACACGATATATAGTCTAATAAAATCCATTAGCCTTTGGGTGCCAATTGTTTGCAACTCATAATTTCATTAAGTACTTACTCTCTAAAATCGAAATAATCGTTTGTTAGTTTTGTATATACTATAGATTAAGGTAAGGTCATAATTAACATCCATTAGGACATTGCATATGATCAAATGCATATAACGAAGTTGTCAACTGGAGTAACCGGACCTTAAGAAATGCTTTGCAATACGCGTCACATTTGTGTTTATTGCATTGTACAATAACTATATAAAGACACAGAAATGTTGCACGTATCGTCGTGAAATTCAAATGAATCAAATTTGTTATCTAATCAATTCACGCTTTACGTCCTTTGGATTATTGATTTAGAGAATCCGAATTTTGGATCATTGACAGGGTAACCTTCAAACGTTAATCTATTACGGTCTTAAAACATAAATGGTCCAATCAGCTAAAAATTCGTTGAATATGGTGACACAATTATTGTTCGCGTCAATAACGAATTACTGATATCGCTCAAGACCTTACAATCTTTTTTGTCCAAAGAAAAATCGTATTTTATATTTAATGGGTAATTTATTTAAATGATTATGATGATTTACAAAATTTTAATAACAAATGAAACGTGTACAAGAATTAATAAGTTAAAAAGAAAAAAAAAAAAGAAAAGGATCTTGTATAACTAATCACTTCATTTATCAACATGAAGTTCCAATCTCAACAACGTATAATCGTCTAAAGCTTCACCTTTTATTTTCTGCCAAATTTCATCGTTATTTATTGGAATCCAATCATTTCTACCAATCATGTAACTAAGAGTTGGCGATTTCTTTCCAAATCTACTCTCGATAACAATCAATACTCTATGAAATGGGGTATTAATAGGAAACGCAACTGCTCGGCGTTCATGTGGGAAAACGAATGTTACATAAATCTGTAAAATAAATAAATAAAAAGTTATTAAAAAAAAGAAAATATTGGATTGGATAAATCATTCATTAACTTTATAACTTACCTTTAATCCATCATCACTGATAGCTTCATTACGAATTCCATGTTTCATAAAGTATAATCTTTCGATACGTAATTCTAGTGATGATAGAACGGAAGGCTTTGAAGAATGAGGAATTAACAATAAAGATTGTGCACCACCAAATTTGTTATTAGATGGATCATAGATCATTGGAGTAGGATCAAGTAGATATGGAAATCCCCCAAGATGATGATTAAACTAAAGAAAAAAAAAATAGAGCATAAAGTGAAACGGTGATTTAAATTTAATAACAGAAAAAAAGTGAGAGAGAGAGAGAGAGAGAGAAGAATTTACAGAATGTTGATAACCTTTCTTCAGTTTTATAATAATTTTTCCGTCATACGTACGAAAGCCAGTAATTTCGCTTAATGGGATTGCTGCTTCATGTTGCATTTTGTTAAAACAAATTGACACCACATCCTGGTCGCAACGATAAAGAAATGCCATATCTCCAGCTTCAGTAGCCTTGATAGAACTTTGATTTTTTGAAGGGTATACGAATTGACATTGAATGAGATCAATTTTAATCAAATACTCTTGAATTTCTGGATCTAAACTTTTTTTTCGTGTATTTTCAATAGGAATATAACCAAGGTTGAATTCTTTATTTTTAGATGATTCGAAATTAGAAAAAAGAGTAGAATTTGACGAAGAGCTGCCATTTTGATCAACAGGATTTGTCATTGAAATTAAATCCACTGTATTATCTTTATTTTCATTTTTTCGAGTAACATAAGTCGCTTTTGATGAATAGTTTAAATCGTTTGTTGTTATAAAACTCAATGAACTTAATGAATGGTTCGGATCGTTGGTTGTTATTAAACTATCTAGTCGTAAATCATCGCTATCGAAATCGTAATCATATTGTTGTGAAGTTGATGGATTATCTTTTTTTTTTTTTTTTTTTTTTAATATATATGTATGTTATTAGCAAAAATAAAAAAGTTATCTATTTTATAATTATATTTTTTTTTGTTTTATTCGTTTTTTTGTTTTTTTTTTTTTTTTTTTTTTTTTTAAGAAAAATAATTTTGACTTACTGTAAAAATAAACCTCGCTAGATTCACCGAATTCATCTTGATCTTGATGATTCATTATAAATCTATAAATCTATAAATATATATATAATTTTTTTTTTTCCTCCTTTTTTATCCTTTAAGGATAAAGGTAGAACAGAAAGTAAATAGGAAACAATGACAGGATTTTTATAGATGTTGATCCATTCATTATTGAAATCACATGAATTAAGGTTTAATCACATGATTGATCAACCCGGTTGTCGCGTCGCAGATTCTAACAATCACATCAATGAATTTTTCGAAGATACAAGAAATTAGAAAGAATGCCTGTCTATTATTCTATGAATCAAAAAAAAAAAATAAAAAAAAATAAAATAAATAAAATAAAAAAATTTTATTGGTGTTTTCCTTTTTCTTTAATTTGGCGGGAAAATATGGTCCAATCACGTATAAGGAATCATTAAATAATCTTTAGGGGCAGGGATTTTAAAAATTTTGTTAAACAATTTTATTTATTACATCAATAACAACAAAATTCAGGGGAACTATGATGATTGTTTATGGCAATTTTTAATTTTGTGAAATGAGAGAATTACAAATCACCATCATTCCCTTACAAATTTACGAAAAAATAATTTCTTTTCCAACGAATTATTCTCTAGATCGGAACCTCTTCCCTCCCTAATTCTAAATTTTTCCTGGTCAAGAATATCAGTTGTTTTCTTTTGATTAAAACGAGTGACTTTTGACCAACATTAGAACAACAATTGGAACTTCGTTTATAAAAAATAAAATGTAATTGTTTCTTATTTTAAGCAAATCATTGATTAATTTTTTTTTTTTTTTAGATATATACATAACATATGTTTTATACTAAAAATATGCAATGACGCAATAACACCGCAAAGAATGTATTGATCACTTAAAATAAGCTTGAAACAAGATATCCTTTGTCTTTAGTTATACGATTTTAGTTTTGATTGTTGCTTTATACGGACATACTTTAATTAATTTAAACAAAATGCTCAAGAAGATTGAAAAATTTCATTTAAATAGATATGTCTTTGAAGGTTGACCCTGTAGTAGAACCTCCTCACTTTTAAACCTTTGTTTTGTTTTATTTTAATACCAAGTCGCTTGTTCTCTTTTACTCCTCAAGCTTTATTTCTTGCGCGTTATTTCTTTACTTTTCTTTGGATCTTCTCTTGAATTAAAGTGCTTCTCCCGGAAGGAAACCTATTTTGACTTTTTGTGGGAATTAATACTAGGACCGCGTGATCAATATTTAGAAATTCAGATATCTACTGCGTATATACGTTATCCTATCGAGATTTTTTTTTTTGACTTTGTAATTATATATCTTTATTTAATTATCTTATTTTCGTTTAAGTTTCTTATCAAATGACTTAATTATTCATATTTTTCTCACTAGTGATTTTCGATGAATTTATTTACAACAATGGGTAAGTTCCTCTATCAAATTCGTTATTTTTACCATAAATTATTTTGATAAAACAAATTTCTCTCTTCTTCTTTCCCTAATTATTAAGATTTAAAAACCAACTTAACATCATCCAGTTCTTCGATTGATGCTTCAACAGTGATCAATAACAACAATATCGATCCGAAATTTTTATTGTCTTCAAATTTCGAATCAAATCATTTTTTTACGGATTCACAAGATGAACGTGCTAATCATCAAAGTTTGATTCATGATTGGATGTTACCCATTTTCTCTTTACCCTCTCCTCACCTATCAATACAATCAAATATTAGCAATACAAACATCTTCATGAATCATTCCATCCCTCATTCGACTCCTAACCCGACTTCAACTTGCTCCGATTGTATCCCTACAATACCCGGAAGTATTTCTATCGCGCATCCTTTAGATGATTCGCTCTCCACTTGTTCCACTTCAGCAGCTAATCCTACCATCGCATCTCAACGAATCCCGAATCCTACGGCAAGGAATCGTCATGAATGTGATTGGCCCGGATGCACTTGGAGTTTTAAGAGGCTCGAACATCTGAAACGTCACATGATCACTCATACCGGGGAACGAAAGTATACTTGTAATTATCCTGGTTGTGGTAAAAGGTTTGGCCGTTCGGATAATTTCGCAGCTCATTATCGAACGCACAATAAGACAACTCCTCGACGATCTCGTGTTGCGGCAAAGTCGAGTAATAAAATTCAATTCAATAATTGTAATGATATAACAAGACAACTTCAATCCGGTAATAATACGATGTCAATTAATTTGGAGCATAATAATCATGTTGTAAGTGATGTTTCGATCTCACAAACTACCGTTACACGAGAACTTGGATCGGCTTATTCTTTCCTTTGTGATGACTCGAAAGATAAACGGTTTTGTTGATTATCCATTTATTTTAAACAAAAGAATTTACCTTTTTTTTTTTTTTTTTTTGTGAATATAATGCTTCTTTTGTACCATTTTTTTTTTTTGGATATTATGTGATCATGCATTTTTTTTTTTATTGAAAATATTTCGTTACCAGTTCATAGTCTTATAACATTTATTAAGACGGATGGTTCTTGTCCCTGGTACTTCATTTTTTGAAATCATGAAATCATTTCTTAAAAAGAAAAAAAAAAAAAAATTTTACGAGAATTTGACCGCAATATCTCCACGGTTAAATTGTAGATTTACTATTTTAATCCGGAAAAATTACTTTTTTTTGCATAGTTTTGGGTATGACAATCGAATGCAATATGAGATGATCTTGAAGAAAAGTCCGTCTGTAATGATCGTTTTTCTTTTATTCTCTTTTTATTTTATTTTATTTTTCTTTGATTGAAGCTTGTAATCTATATAAAATATCTTTTAATAATTTTTTTTTTTTTTTTCAATTTAAATATATTAAAATAATATTTACAAAAGTTCATTATGAATTCGATTATATTTTTTCTCAATGATATTAACATTATTACTATTATTACTTAAAGGTAATATAAATTCATCTAAATCTCCAAAAATTTGTTTGGATTTAAGATGATTATTATTGGAGGAAGAAGAAGTTTTTAAAGTCTCTAAAAATGAAAGTCCAGAATTTGACATCCAATTATCTTGATTTATTGATGATGTACTTGACATCCAATCATCTTGCAAAGTTCGATGATCATATGCTGATACCATGTCACCAAATTCCGAAGAATCCGTTGTAGAACCAACATTCATTGAAGGCGTATACAATTGTTTAGGATTTGAATCGAATATATTTTGTGGTGCTTGTTCCTGTTTCACTTTAGAAATTTTATTAATTATTGAAAATGTATTTCCCTTATCAACTTGTTGTGACATCAATCGTAAAAATGCATCTGAACCGTTCTGTGGTTGCACTTTTGAAGGCAACTTTGGATCACTAGTAAATTCTGAAAAATCAAAAAATGTATCTTGCTGATATTTGCGTGAATTTGAAGGCTTGGAATTGGTAAAGGATTCTAAAAATGAAAGGTCAGTAGACGAAATCCAATTATCATTATCTTGTTGTTTTTGTTCATTGGGTTTGCTTGAACCAAATAAATCAGCATCATCAGCTGAAATCTTTTCACCAAATACTGAAGACGACGATTTAGAACTCGAATTTTTCTTTGTGTCGTATAACACCTTTTCAGGATGATCACATAATTTTGTACTTGATGATGCCGTATCATTATTAGAAGACGATGATTTCGGTAACACTTGATCATCGAAGTTCAAGAAGTTCTCCTGATTCAAATTACCCGAGGGAATAGCAGAAACCATATCTCCAAAATCTGAAGAGATCGACGAAGTATTTTTCTTCATTGCAGGGGGGTAAGTATTATGGGAATTAAATGGATTCAATAATTTATCGTCAACTTTTTTCAAGTCATTTACTGAATCATCTAGTAAGTTTACAGCGATACTTGTCGAAGGATTTTCTTTAATTGGATTTGATTTCAAAGTTTCAAGATTTGCGATTAAATCAGTTGAATCACGATTAATTTGTGTTATAAAACTATCCATTCGATAATTATTATTAGTAGGTGTTGTTGTAGGTGTTGTCGTTGATGTTGCTCCAATATCAAGAAAATCGTCAAGAAGCGTTTCGGATTTTCGTTGTGATTTTTTGGTGCTGGATACACTAGATGGTCTAGAAGATAATGATTCCAAAAATGAAAGATCTGACATAGTTATCCAAGAATCTCGATTCAAATCTACACCTTGATCAATATTATTCGACTTTATAGGAGCATCTTGTCCTTGTGTGTTATCAGTGTTATTATTATTAGGTATTTCTGTTGAATTCTTCTCTTGTTCTTTTTTGTTATCATGAGTAGATTGTTCAGCTGATGAGAATGACGTTGGTATATCGTCATCGTGAGTAATTTGATTGAGTGATGATGATAATGTTAGTTTATCATTAAATAAATCACTGCCTGGAAGTCGATTCGCCGTCTTGATCATAGAAAAAGAATTAATTGATTCCAAAAATGATTTTTGAATTTGCGAACCACACCATGTAAATCCAATAACCCCTCCTTGATCACTCCAAAGTTCTATAAACGAACTCCAATTCAAGTTAGCATTCATCATTCTAATGGATCAAAAAGAATTAGTCAACATTGAACAAAAAAAAATTTTTTTTCCAACAAAGGACTTACTCATGTGAATTATATACAAGATCTTCTATGGATACGGGTTTTACTTTGTTATTGTGACTATCTAATACCCGTAAATTATAAATTTTATCCAAGACAGCAATCCATCCAGCAACGGAATTTTTTATAGACTGTTTATGAGAATTTTTTTTAAAAAAATTAGTAAGTTATTTTAAAAAATTAAATTATAATAAAAGTTATTATTTTAGAAAATTTGATATTTTACTATGTTATGATCCAAATCTAAGGAATCTAAGGGTGGTTCATTTTGGATTTCCGAATTATGATTTTCTTTAGTAATAACATTGACACTTTCAATTTTTTCTCCATTTTCAGCATCACCAAAATCATCATAAATAGATTGTTCGTTTCTTTGATAATTATAAAAATCATCTGTGTCTTCACTCTTAAATTCACCAAACTCATCAAAACTACTTCCTTCACTACATTCAAAAACACCAAAATCATCATCTTCCTTCTCATTTACAACCAATTTCTCCGATTTCACATTTTCACATTGATTAAATGAATCATTTAGTTCTTGATTATCCAAAATCATTTCATTATCAAGCTTTACATCAGGATTGGTAAATTTACCAAATTCATTAGATAATTCTTTTGAAGGAAAATTGTCTTCTCCTACAACATAATCAGAGTTTTCAGAATTAGATACTTCATTAGAGCCTTTATGATTATTTTCTACTTCTTTTTGATTATAAGAAATTTCAACAGCTTTTGAAGTAGTTAAGTCACTCTCTACCTGCGGGTTTAAAGTAATTGGCGAATCGGGAACCGTAAAAGGCACGCTAAAAAATGATTGATTATTGGGCTCTCCAGCAACCATTTGTACATCCGTCCAAACATTTTCTTCAAAATCATCTTTATTATCTAGTACTTCATTAATTTTTGTAATATATAATTGATCGGAATTTTTATGATCCTCTTCCCATATGTTGCTTGTAGAGTCTGCATCAAGTTCG